AAACCATGCTTCTTCAAGCTGTTGCCAAAAGTCATTGGCATCTTCATGTTCTCCTTGAAGATAGTCATTCATATCTTCGGCAAGAATAGCATCATATGCTACTTGGTTCGACTCCCAAGTGTCCTCATAAGGATTCTCCTCAAAATACTCATCTGGATAAGTTGGCGGTTGCTCATCAGCATAATGGCCTTTACCTCGTCTCTTTCCTCCTTTTCCTTTTCCACGAGGTCTGAAGAATCTGCGGCCTGATCTTCCCTTGCCTTTTCCTTTTCTTCTTCCTTTTCCTTTGCCTTTTCTGGCTCTTCTTCCTTGGAATCTCCTCTGGAACCAAGAGAAATTCTGTTCATCATATACCCAAAAGACATCGTCCAGGGCATCTAGAAATCCTTCTATTCCATCTTCTTCATCTTCGGCCCAATAGCCATATGTACCATCGAGTTCTCCTTCTTCAAGCACGAGGAATGATCTTCTACCTCCAGCACCTGTCGGCTGCATCAAGGGATTGTCTACTGAAGTCTTTGTCGTGCAGAACATCTCAATGAAAACTGTCCTCAACTCTGCTGTGGTGTATTGCTGCAGGACCCTACCACGATGAGTCATCAAAGAGGTCAAAGTGTTCCTCTGGTCCTGAGACAAATCTGAAAGTGACAGCATGAGTAAGGCAATGAGATTTTCTCCCAAAGGAAAATCGTTCTGATGAAAAGTTCTCAGATTGCCATTGATATTCTGCATGATTTCCTGAATTCTTTCCGCCGTTGGAGCTACTCCATTCATCACTGCATCAGCTTGCATCTGAGCTTGTACCTGAGGATGTGCTTGTGTGACTGGCTCCAACATGTCCATCCAACTGCTCATAAGCCTTTGGAGTAAAATCTGAAATCTTGTCATCCACTTCATCATATCAGCTGATCCGCGATTGAATCGCACGAATTGCATAAACCTATACAGGAATACATTGGTTGCTCCTTTCACAAAATATGGTCGTAGTACTCGTTTGAAATAATCTACTCCAGCTCCTGGTGGATCATTCGCCTTCAATGCATCTCTGTCTAAAACACGTTTGTATACAGCTGCTTCTCCTTCTAATCTGTTCCTCAATGCTGGTCCTCTCTTCTCATCCTCCAGCTCGGTGATATCGCACCAATCGTCTATGGCATCCTCATAGGAAAACCATGAAGTCTTTCCATCATAAGATGGGGGCACCTTTGTAGTGACCTGTGTTGTCATTGCTATAGCTGCTGGTTCTCTTCTCACATGCCTATTCACATAGGCTGCTGGCTCATAAGCCACATCCGCATCAGGCTCTTCCCAGTCGTCAATCCAATCCATGGCCGTTTGCCTAAAAGCAAGTCTATGCCTAGGAAAGGAGCTCACCTGGGTCTTCCAGGATCACTGCTCCGCTACCACTGAAAGAGTGACTAGGGCGTACACGGTTGAGGTGCAGACCGCTAGTGTCTTTTATACGCAGAGTCTTATCCTCTTGAGCCTTATGGCAGTCAAGCATGGACACACTAGATAGGCCACTGGAGTGGAACCTGTACAAGTAGGCCTCTACATTTCAGGGGGGGGGCACGACTACTACTACTACTTTCTAGGCCCTCGTAGCACAGGATCCTTCTTTGGGCACGACTACTACTACTTTTCTCAATCCGAGGGGGGGGGGGGCACGACTACTACTACTGGGCGTCCTGCTTGTCCTGTCATCACCATGACATCGTTGGACCAATCGAACGCCAGCTGGATCAAAAGAGAAGGTTTTGTAAAGGATTGCAAGTGCTCCAAAGGATTCAAGCGCAACTTTCGCGACTGAGCTTGGGGCGAGCTGTGGATAGCTGAGGGCTGGGGACAGCTGGGGGATGCTACAGGAATCAACTTTTCCTTTCACCTGCATGTGCCCCTCCATCAATACCCCAAGTTGGGGTATTGATGCCAAGTTCAGACTAAGTTTATCGCAAACATCCAAGCACCTTGGCGGCCATCGCCAGACCCGACACACAGCTGTACCTCAAATGTAAACTTGGGCATTTCCCAGCTTGCAATGTGTTGCAATTATTGCATGTTTCATTGGCCAAAGTATATTATACACTCTTCCTAGTAGCGATGGCCTCCACCTTAGTAGCGATGGCCTCAAACCTTTTAATAGCAATGGCCTCCATCCTAATAGTGATGGCCTCCAACCAGCTGGCCAAAGTATATGCACATATATACACTCTTCAGGCCTGTAAAGAGAGAGTGACCCCTATATAAAAGGTTTCAGTGCCAGCACGCCTGCCACAGCAAAGGTAACACTCGCCAAACAGTGATGTCCTGCAAGTCCCAAATCACGAGCTTGCAACAAGTTGGAAATGCTCAACTCACAACTAATGCCCTGAAATCAACATGATTCTGTTGCGCATGAATGCCATGAATGCTGGTACCGGTTGGATCCGGTTGGTATCGGTGGCCTATCAGCTCAGCAAAGCGTGGATCTATGACAGCACTAGCTGGCTGCGGCCGCGAAGGCAAGCGCTGCAAAGCGGAGGGGCGACAGGCTGCTGCCATCAGGTTGCCGCCATCAGGCCGCTGCCATCAGGCACACCATGCAAGCTTCTGTGAGTAGACCGAGGCTCGTTCATAAGTGTTCGTAGCCATTCCGCATGTAAAACACTACTGCCGCTTAATTAATCACTGCATGAAATTTACACATTGTCCACCAGAGGACTCCCTGCGAATGCTCCGACATGCTCCAGCTCAACTGACGATGTTTCTTATTCCAGGATGCACATGGCTGCATGGCCAGAGCACTTCTGAACTGCTGGAACAGAAAGAAACCACTAGGTCACTAGGGCAAAAACAGTATCTAACCGGTATCGCGTTTCAAGTTGCTTTGCCACGGTTCCGACATGTTCCTGTACTTGAGATGTCTTTGGACCCGATTCCGGCCCTTGGTTCGACACCAAACCTGCGTGAGGCTTGCTTTCCCAAGTCCTCCATTGCGCGGCCAGCACTGCTGCTACAATCGCAGCCCTGGCTATAGTGTTTGCCTGGCGCCATGGCTATGCGGTGGCAAGAGTTGATTTTCTCGGTGCAAGGTTCCAGAGCTTGCCCACCGAAGCATGTCTGTTTGAAAATTTTGTCGGTCAAACACATGGATGAGGTAAGCCCTCCCCAATAGTTGCCAGGTTGACAAAACCATGTATCTTCAGAGGAGGAAGGGCTTGCCACATCTACGAATCGCCTGAGCAATGGTCAAACGGACAAAAATATGCAAACCAAACGCCAATCCACTAATTACAGCAATATATAACTACCTGGGGCTCCAGCCATGTCTGCTTGACATTGTCCCAGTATTCCACCCAATTGTGGTTATTGAGATACCTGAAAAAGTCCACACTAATTTGTCATAACACAAAACCGCGGAGTTGCATATGAAACTTGCAAACACATTCTATGCTGTCAGTCACTGGTTGTATTACCCGCGTGCGTTGATTTTGGCTGCACACTTTCCGCCAAGCATGTCTCCAGCACCCCCACTCCAGCATTGAGAAACCTCAACATGGCAAACACACATACACATGGATTGACAAAAGTGGCCCCTACTTCGGAATGAACGCCTCCCCGCTCTGACCTCATATGGCTGTCATATGGTATGCCTGCAAAACTTTCTTCCACCTTGTTGAGGGGTTGCTGGCACTTGAACAAACACGCGACGATCTGTCCTCTAACACCCGTTACATGTGCCAAGACGGGGCTGAAGCTGACCTGACCACCGATCACGTCTATATAATGATAATGCTTTACTTGAGAACAAACATTAATAAAGCAACAAATGTAGCTGTTAGGTTGGAATCCATCGCTACTAGGTTGGAGGCCATGGGCCATCGCTATTAGGTTGGAGGCCATCGCTACTACGGTGGAGGCCATTGCTGTTAGGTTGGAGGCCATCATGCTATTAGGTTGGAGGCCATTGCTACTACGGTGGAGGCCATGGCTGTTAGGGTTGAGGCCATCGCTATTAGGTTGGAGGTCATCGCTATTAGGTTGGAGGCCATCGCTGCTACGGTGGAGGCCATTGCTGTTAGGTTGGAGGCCATCGCCATCGCTATTAGGTTGGAGGCCATCGCTATTAGGTTGGAGGCCATCGCTACTACGGTGGAGGCCATCGCTATTAGGTTGGAGGCCTTCGCTACTACGGTGGAGGCCATTGCTGTTAGGTTGGAGCCCATCGCTACCACGGTGGAGGCCATTGCTGTTAGGTTGGAGGCCATCGCTGTCGGGTTGGAGGCCATCGCTACTACGGTGGAGGCCATTGCTGTTAGGTTGGAGGCCATTGCTGTTAGGTTGGAGGCCATCGCTATTAGGTTGGAGGCCATAGCTACTACGGTGGAGGTCATTAATAGGTTGGAGGCCATCGCTATTAGGTTGGAGGCCATCGCTACCACGGTGGAGGCCATTGCTGTTAGGTTGGAGGCCATCGCTATTAGGTTGGAGGCCATCGCTACTAAACTACGGTGGAGGCCATTGCTGTTAGGTTGGAGGCCATCGCTATTATATAGGTTGGAGGCCATCACTACTACGGTGGAGGCATGTGGAGGCCATTGCTGTTAGGTTGGAGGCCATCGCTATTGGTTGGAGGTCATTGCTACTACGGTGGAGGCCATTGCTGTTAGGTTGGAGACTATCGCTATTAGGTTGGAGGCCTTCCCTACTATGGTGGAGGCCATTGCTGTCAGGTTGGAGGCCATCGCTATTACCCTGAGCATCGGTTATTGATTCTAATCAATAAGCTCAAAATAATTGATTTTGTAGTCTTCCAAATCAATTATTTTAATTAATTTGGAAGACTACATTTTCAATAGAAAAACATTGAAAATCAATAATTTTTTGCTTTTCTATTGATTTTAACAATAACAAAATCAATTAAACAATCAATGATTTCTGTCCTTTTTCGTGCAATCTCTTCAAGATATGCAAGCGAAACTGATCTTTGTATTTTGTTTGTCAAAGTGCTCCACCCTTTTGCCAAGGGGTTGACACCTTTTGCCAAGGTGTTCCAACCTTTTGCCAAGGTGTTTACACCTTTTGTCAAGGTGTCCACACACCTTTTGTCAAGGTGTTCACACCTTTTGTCAAGGTGTCCACACACCTTTTGTCAAGGTGTCCACACACCTTTTGCCAAGGTGTCCACACCTTTTTGCCAAGGTGTTCACACCTTTTGCCAAGGTGTCCACACCTTTTGCCAAGGTGTTCATACCTTTTGTCAAGGTGTTCACATGAAGGTGCCCACACCTTTTGCCAAGGTGTTCAACCTTTTGACAAGGTTTCCACACCTAAGGGTCACAGTCATCCTCTGGCTGATTGCCAAAGCCAGGCCTGGTGAGCCGCAGGTGCAGAAGTACCAAGTACTTCTGCAAGAGTTTTGTGCAAACTCTTGTAGCTTTGTTTCCAAAGCTCACACTGTGGCCAATGACAGACATCTGTCCCACAAAGGATTCTGCTCTATAGTTGGCATGCAGCCTGATGTTCATCCATTTGCTGTTCTGAACCAAATGGAGCATGGAGTGGAACTTGAAGGTGATGTGAAAGAGCTTCCTTCCTTCTTCTGCTGCCCAGCAGTTCAACCTACTGTATAGGTTGAAAAAGCTTGTGGAAAGCTCCTGTGCTGCTGCAAACTCTGCAGCAGTGAGAAAAGCACCACAGCCATCGAAGTGCTGCACCAACTGGTTGAAGGCTTTGCAGCACTGCACCATGCTTTGGTGGGTGTCAACTCCAAGATCCAGGCAATCTGCCAAAATCTGCTCCAACACTGGCAGAAACCATTTGCATTCTGCAGCCTTGCATTCCAAGACTGGGAAGGCCTTGAAAGGAGACTGAGTGTCTGTGATCATCGACAGTCTGAGGTTGGTCAGTCTGTTGGAAATTCTTCTTTCAGAATAGATGTCTCTCACTTTGGCAAATATCACTTGGATCCTCTTGGAGGCTGAGACTTTCTGCCTGTTAGGCCAAT